AAGCACTCATAGGTGCTAGATTAAGTTCCTTGCTGTAGACACACTTGTCTCTGGGCAGAATGAGCCAGAGAAAATCAGGTGACAAAATGGATTTAACAGAATTATGGACATGTCCTTGTTCAATTTTTTTCTCAGTCAATCCTACAGTTTTCATTTACGATTAGAATGCCTTTCAAATTGGAAAAGGAACTCTTTTCTTTGAGTGGGTTATTCTACTTGTCTCGGACAAGGTATTAAAGTATTCTCAATGAAGGGGGTCCAATGCCTCAAAATGGCATTTACATGTGTACAAGCATTAGATCACAGTGCAGCCTGGAGGCGGGCGGGGGGGACACGATGCACCACCACATCTCACTGCAGTTCAATTGCAATTCCTTTTACATACACCTGAGGCTGCTTTTTACTTGCCACATGTAAAAATTTTCTTTTTGGCAGGCAGTCAAGTGTGAGATGATGCAGGTTCAAATCTTAGCGAGACTTTGTGTCACGCCTTTGCATGAGGCTAGAATTTAGAATAGAAAACTATCATTGCAATGGGAAGAATAGAATCACCTCACTTGATAAGGAGGGGTTACTGTCATGAGAAAATGGTGTTTATTCATTTCTTGCAATTTTTTGTTTAGTAAGTTTAAGTCTTCCAGTTAGAGAGAAGATATACACATATGTAAGACAGATGCAACTTAGATGCAACACATTGTAAGTAGCCAATGACTATTTTGAAAAAGCCTCATATTCTACACTGTGTGAAAAATCTTCCTTATAGCGATCTGACAAGCATGCATGGAATTGGGCTTGAAAATATATTCTGATTTCCAGTGGTCACTGAGGGAAAGAAGATAAATTGACATCTGATATTATTTTCTGTTAATAACCCAAGCTTCCTATGCTGACAAATTTCCACAAAGTTTCTGTATGTACATTTCAGATTGAGCTTCAGTTCTGCAGTCCTCTTCAGAACATCTGAGCTGGAGTACAAATTTTAGCCATTAAACAGTCATTATCAATCAAGATAAACTATGCTTTCTTCCAGATATTTCCCCTTATTCTTTGTGGTTTTTTGGAAACACACAGTTTCCAAGGGCAGGGTAAATATCTTCCGTTCTCTCTTTCAGCAGTTCCCGTTTGTTCAGTTGTAAACTGACAGTGCAGCAGTGGAGAAGAGAAACAGCTCTGTGGAAAGTGTTGCTGCCAGTGATTATCTTTCATGCACCTTTCACTGTCTGGCATGGGCCTTTGTCTTAATTTCCCTTAATGGGATGGAGTTTACCCTCATCTCCTCTGCCCAGTATTGCCAGATGGCAAACTTCTTTAGGTGTTTATAAAATCTGCTTCTTGTCTGGTCATATTTATCTGGCTGACTGGCTCATTCAGGTGTTCGTAGGCTTCTCCATGAAGTGGAGTTTATCTTGTTTTAGGAAATAAAATAGATAAATTCTCCCTTTTTTGCAGAAGGGCAGGTAACTAGCATATATTCATGGCAACTTCATGCAACTTTTTCCATGCAGGAAGGTGGATCCCTGTTGTTTATCATCTTTTATCATCGTGTGTGGTTTTCTCTTTGAAAAAAACAGCAACAAAACCAAACAAAAAACCCCACAAAAGTTAACTCCAAACAATCTGCTTTTCCCCTCCTCTCTTATTCTTACTTAGTTGCTCCTCCCAACCTGTTGTATCTCTCATGTAAAAAAAAAAAAAAAAAAAGGAAGAAAATTTCATATGATGGAATGAACTTCGCTAAATATAGTGTTAAATTTAGTATAGGTACTAAATATACTGATGCTTTCCAGTGAGTGTCTATAGCTCTCTGGATTTTCTTTCTGACTCTGGCCAAAATAAAATGCCTGCCACCTGTAACACTGCAGTCCCCTCCTCCATTAGATCCATTCAAAATCGATTATATGAAACTAAGGCAAATACAATGTAACAGACAAGCTGCAGATAAAATGTAAAATGAGCATGCAAGATTGTCAGCTGTGGCACATAAATATCACAAATATGTCCACCTCTTCACCCGCTCATCACCATGACAAAATATTTGGCTGGAATGGCAAAAGAATAGATGCTCTCCTCCCAGTCTTAAATGAACTGGGTTTTCTTTTCATTTACGAACAGTTCAAACTAGCCAAAACTCTTCTAATTGCAGTGGTGATGCCTCAGGTCATCATTGATTTCTGTAAAAAAGGTGCTTTGGTTGGTCTGTGCTTCCCGTGATTGACCACAGTATCACCTGGTTGTAAAGGAAAGGTTTGATGAACGCAGAGGGAGCTGGCCTGGGGCCACAACTTTGCTAACTGACAAAGTTAAAGGAGTCATGGTGTCCCCACAGACACCTAAACAGTCACATTTGTGCAGATTGGTTTTGCCCTGCCTGGGTAGCTGTGAACCTGAAGCGTGCCTCCAGGTGAGCACAGGAATCATTGATTGGGGCCCAGGGCAGCAATGTGGTTTTAATGAACCGTGAAGCAAGTACTAAACTTGTGGGCTTTCCTTTCTAAGAATGGTAGTGATTTTGGTGTTGGTTTCTGCTCTTCTTGCTGATTTCCCAAGCAGCAGCTTTGAAAGTTGTCTCCTACTTTTCAGAGGACCTTATTAAAAAGTGCTGAGTTTCACACAGTACAGAACAGAAAGAAAAAAAGAAGCCAGTGCAAAAACAGTCTAAAACCAAGAAAATTGTATTCTGCTCAGCACTAATTTGACTAAAAAAATAATAATACTAATACTGGTAATTTCAAATTAATTTATGTGCATACTCATCTATTTAAGTTGGAATCTATTTTGTACCAACGCTTCTGGTAAGATTTCAGAATTTGCATCTTTAGAGGGAAAAAACGTGTCCAAAATGAATTTATTTAAGTGTTCAGAAGTACAATTGTAACAGCCTTTCTGCATTATTTGCCCTTAATGAGAACAAACTGTCATTGGTATCGTTTCCAGGCAACTACCAAGGAATGCTTAACCTTACATGGGGGTCTCGCAAACCACACATTATGCCAGGTAAAGCATGTCTTTGAAATGAAACTCGCTCAAGAGATCACACAGAAACCGTTTATTTAATCTTATTTTTAATTAGTTCTTTTCCTTATTTTCAGAGCTATTATTTTCCTGTCAAAAACTTGCTTTCCTTAACTATTAAAATCAAATAAAACATGTTTTTCACATTCTATTTTAATATTTAACAAGCCAAGAACTACTCTAGGCTACAGTGATTGCTGTGGGGTCCTTTGAAAAGATTTTGACACTTTGAGAGTGTTCCCTCTTAATAAAAATGGGAAGAGCCACTAAGCAAAATAAGATGGGCAGTTTTAGGGGCTTCCTTAGAGACTGGAGACTCATTACGCATCATGCATCCTGCAAATACCCATCTCTCTTAACAGAGCACAGCCTGAATAAATAAGAAATTGATGGAGAAATGCAGGTACAGTAATGAGTGGCACAACTTGCAACAGGGGACTCTCCACCCAAGTGCCAAACAGCATCTCATGAGCTGAAGGAAGTGTCAAAAATTAATCCAGTCTGGAAGTGACAGAAATTACTTTTCACTTATTAAATGAAAATACATATAGATGGTATTGACTGTTATTGTGCTTCATGTTTGGCAGCATCTTAAATCAATTTTTGTGGTTATATTAGAATTTGATCATCAATATATTTTCTATCCACGCTTCTAAATGGTGCTTGATGACTAAATTGGCAAATAGCTGGAACCTTTTTTGGCAATTCACTAAAGTTTACATTTTCTCATCACAACACTGTTCACTTTGAAAGCTCTTATTACTTGGTGCAAAGAACAGATAAACCTATAGATTAGAAGGCAATGAACAAACCCTACCTGCTTTTTACAGTCACAGTCTGAGGATGGCTCACCCATCTCTGCCCAGGGTGCTTTGAGCCTTCACTGGGAAGTCAGGGGAGAGGAACACACACTGGCTTTCACAAGTGGCAGGTATCACTTCACTGGGCCAAGGAGGTGCTGTTTCTCTAGGTGGGTTCTTGGTATAAAAACAGTACAAAGGAATGGGGAAGCTCTGTGGAGCGTTGCCGCAGCATCCCTGATTATGCCAGTGGATCCGAAAGTAAAAAATTCAGTGAAACACCTTTTGTTTTTCCATTCAGTGAGCCTGAACATTCCCCGTAATTTTTGTGTTGGTAGTAGGAAGGTAGATATCTTTCTCATACAAGGTGGCACCCTTTCTGTCTGCTGTGGATTGTCTGGTCTCCGCACGCCTGGCTAAAGTCAGCTGTCATACCATTGTAACTTGGGCTAACACCTATTTAAATGATATCACCACTGGGCTCGGCATTTTTTTCCCCACATGAGGGCTGGCAAGGCAAGCAGGGTAGCTGGTATTTAATATTCCACACTGGAAATCACCAACAGCACAGGCAAAAGCTCCAGTATGTTTTCTTACCCAGTTCCCTCAGCCTTCATGAGATGTAGAGGAAAAGTGGATAAAGGTTCACAAGAAGATAATCTCATTGATAGTCATGGAAAAGTTATAATAATTGGCATGCTTTTCGAACAAGAGAAAATTTTCTAGTGCAACAAATTCGCCAAAACCTGAAGCCAGAGCAGCGCTGCTCTCTTGGCCTCTGTAGAGACAGGTTTGTTGTCTTATCTGTGCCAATACATAGATGTGATGTGTTTTTTCTTCTGCCAAAAGAAATTCATGTAAGGCCTGCACAGCATGGCCTAAACTGAGAAAGAGATTTGTCACTTTTTTGACAATAATTCACACAGACTCCAAAACAAATGTACTTCTGAGCCGCGACTCTGTGAACAATAAAGCAAACACTCTGGACTACCTACCAGCCCATCCATCTTTTTAAATCATGTCAGCAGGCTTCAAATTGTTCACTAAGCTTTATTGTTTCATAGAGAAGGAAATAATTTGTGGTGAAATACACTGAGCCATTGAACTTTGCAATTGTTTATTACTTGGTCTTGATTTCTTTCACATTGCTGCTTCATCATTTACCTATCATTTGTTTTGGATGACATGGTTTGTCCTCTCTTCAAAACTATCTGGATTACATAGGCAAATTTCTAAACTGAACTACTTAGCCTTTCTGCTTGTTAATACCATCTACTTATTCTTTGTAAAATCTGCAATAGCACTGTGGATGGGATTTTGTTGTAGGCTAGATGTGAATTCTTTCTTCTATCAAGAGAAACAGCCTGATGTGAAGCTTGCTGGCTTTTGTTTGGACTGGAAGGCTGATGAACAGACTTTTTAGAAAGAAAGAGGGTATGTACAACATAGCAGATGGATAAAAAGTGTTTGGCATGGCAAGTAACTAGGCTTTGTGCCATAAGTGACATCTTAGGGTATAAGAATTGTTCAGATATGGGTCATTTCTGTGGCATGAAAGAAACAGAGATGACTGCATCTGAACTAAGTCTGCTGTTGTTTCTCCTGTGTTGTTATTGCTGTTATAAATGGGTGCCCTAATTAGAACTGAGGGAATTTATGGGCAGATATGAAAATGTGGTTACTATAGTTACCAGGTGTTCCAGCTCAGTCAGGAAATGTGGCTAATATAATGATAGCCCAAGGGTAAACACATGAGGTAAATGATGAACACGGCCCCCTGCTTCAGGAGAAAATATTTTTCTTCATACTTTTTTTGGTGGCTTATTTGCCAAAGTAACATCTATCACTACAATTCCTTTTCTGTCCTTCCCTTTCTTTCAGCAGACTGGTTTTGGTGAGACTATAAGGAGCTCTGGGGAAAAGAAAGTGCAAAAATGAAGTAGCATTTAGAGGAAGGATAAAGATCTATTTCCCTGTGTTTCAAAGGTCTCTGCTAAAATCCTTCCCCATTCCTCTGTACATAGGCTAGACAGTAGGGTAAACTATTTGTATTTTCACAAATTCAGAAGAAAACTTTCCTTGTGCTTGTATTTTTTTGCTTCTGACCCTAATTCCAGCACCAACCCTATTCGTTCATGCCAGCCTGTGGATAGAGAAGGAAGATAGTGGACAAGGATCCCATTGGTTCTCTCCTTGTATCCCTTGGCTGAGATATGGGGGACATCTCAGTGCCTGTCTGCTTTAGTCCGGCTGCTCAAATTAGCTGCTGGGTGTGGGAGGATTCTGTGAGAAAAATGGCATTTTAGAGGGATCAAGCCCCACAGTTGTGGTTGAAGTGGGATCTTGCTTGATGCTGCCTAGAGGCAGGATCTATCTAGGTTATTTCATTTGTTACAGGGAAAGGAAGAATTGTGAAGTCAGATTAATTCCTGCTGCAATTTCTCTGAAGTCAATGAGATGCCACTACTGATTGCTTTGACACAGATTTTTCAGTCCTGAATAATTGCCTGACCTTTTAGAAAAAACACATGAAGAGACAGAAAATCAGAACAGCTGCTGCTAAGGGAGCTGTTCCCCACCACTTTAAACAGTGTTGACCGTTAGTTGCTCTCTGTTTTTGGAGGAGGCATGCAGGAGGAGAAAGAAGCCTGAAGCATCTCTGTCCTCCTCAACCAGAGATAAACTGCGACTATTCTTAGCGGTGTCTAGCATGTTGACTGATGTTACTTATTGATGGAAACTACAAAATTATTGCTCTGTGATTCATATTGCTCTGTGTAACTGTAGGGCCAGACTCCAGTGACGTACACAAAAGCAGAGCCACAGCTGCAGCAATGAGCTCAGTGTAAGCACCGTCACTGGCCATAAAATTTCCAGCTCCTTTCTAGGCATCACTGCAGGCTGATGAACACACATTCTGAAATCAGAGAGCACTGCCTATCCAGTTCAGTCTCAGATACCTTGCTTGAAGTGCCTTAATCAGATACCATAACCTCAGTCTCAAGCCTTAGAGAGAGACAGGAGCTCTGCCTCTCCCTTAGCAAAAAATGAAAAAAGGCTTTGAATGCAGTTGCCTCAGCTGTAGTCTTAGTCACAGTCATGGCTGCCTTGATGAACTTGACTATCCTGAATGGTTTAAATGACTTTAGATGATGGATTTTCTCCATTAGCAAGAAGGTGATATACCTTCTTGGGGCTCTGCCACAAGCTTTCCGTAGGAGGAGTTAGATATGCTGAGGTGCAATGTCTGGGCTTTAACATTAGTGTTACTTAATAAAATGAAGCAAGTGCACATGAAGAGACATCCAATTAGGCAGTGTCTCATTGCTGCAAAGACTTTCCTTTCTACCCAGAGCTTTTGATGTGCTAGTGCCAAATATAGCTGAATCAGGTTCTCAGTGGAAGTAACCAGGCAGAAATTACACATGGATCTTTGCATGTACGTGAGTTTCTGCTTTGCTGCAGGCTACAGGCATCACTGTGGCTGCACAGGGCTCATCAGCTACAGCCTGCCCTCCTGTGCAGAGGAGGATACTAAGCTGATCCTCTTGGAAGATGGTCCTTCACTGAATGTCCTAGGATATGAGCGGAAATCTCATGGCCTTTTCTTATAGTCTAGCTGCTGTTCCCTGTCATCTGATGTTTGCAGTGAGGCACAGGTTGCCCACTGCAGCTTGTCTTTCCTGCAGCGGGGTTTCTGCAGCCTTGCCTAAATGGAAGAAATAGAAAATATTTAGAAAAAAAGACTTTCAAAATTACTAGGAAATGAGGGAGGGAGCAGACAGCATACGTATGCATTCTTGTTGAGAATGAGGTTGCTTATCCTTTTCTTATGATACAAAAGACACTAGTGAAATTAAAAAAACCTCAAAGATGTCTGCTGTTTTAGTATTACTTAGACTACTGCTCTGACCTAGCATAGCATATTTCTCTCTCTTTGACTTCTGAAGATGAAGAAAGCTACAGTGCCCTGGGAGTTTGGGTTTGTCAGCATGGCATTACTGGGCTCGGCAGTCCCTGGATGGGACACAGAGGAACAGAGACCATTAAATCAGGTGTTCCCCTGGTCACTGAAAGTGTTCCAAGCAGCAAACAAACAGACTTTAGTGCTTCAGCTGACCTTCAGGATTTGTCTTCTCTGGACCTGTTTTTTGTTTGATCTCTGTATGGCTTGAGGAACAGCATGAGAATCCCATCCTACCCACTTCTCTGTCTGTCTCTTCTGTGTACCTCCCACATACTATATTAGTCAAGTGCTTCATAGATAATATGTATGCTTGAATTTTTGGTCAGGTTTAAAAATGTTCCGTTTCCTCCCACACCCAGAGTAAAGAAAATTTGAGTCTACTTATTTATGTTGGGTTTAAATTCTGCAAAATGTTAACATTGACTCTTTTAAACTTCTTAGGATCTTGAATGTAAATGAATTCAGCAGCACTGATACATGTATTTTTGCAGGAGGGATAGTGAGGGGACAAAAATCTTTAGAAATGTTCAAATAGAAAAATCGTGCTTGGCCACAGCAATCCTCAATGATCCGTGCTGTTGTGACAGAGCTGGAGAAATCCCATCTTCTTCATGTCATTACGATCAAGAGCAACTGCTGTGTGCTGAATCTCTGAACAAAGTGTGCAACTTGGTGCTTCAGACCTGTCTTTCTTTCTAAAGGTGATTATGTAGACTTCCTTCCTCCATAAATTAATACTGTTAGAGATACTCTGCTCACAATGCTGGTTTTCTTTTTGCTGGAAGAATACACCACCCAGCCTTTGCTTGGAGATAAGCTTCTCTCTGATTGCCTAGGCTAGTTCCACTCTTTGAATTTTGGATTGGGCAGGTGGCTTGAGCCAAGTTTTTATGCTTTGGCGTTTTACCAAGGCCCAGATGCCAACCTGGGCGAGCTGTGAACACACTCTTCTGTAGAGCTTGGCTATTTATCTTAGCCACATCTTTAATGTTAAAACAGGCCAGGAGCATCTAGCTCTCCCGTGGTCTATCAGCCTTGAAACAGGGCTATGGCTCAGACTGAAGAGCCAACAGAAGCAATTTTCTTCTGTACGGTTTCTATATATTTGTTCTTGCAGAATTTTTTTGGAAGGGCAGTTTATGTGGTGACCTGAACAGCAGTCTATCTGTCTATTTTTCCCTTTGGGAGACAAAATCCAAGAACCCTTCTGTCTTTTAGGACCCAGAGAATATTCTTTTTCTCTGATTGCTGAACTGGTATTATAATACTGTGGGCAAGGTTTACTGTTAGAAATTGGTAAGACAGATTTGCAGCCTGCCAAGTTTACTGGGTTAGCATGGAGTACAGGCTGACAAGCCTGATCACTGAGATTGGATAAGTACATATTTCCTTTTCACACCTCATGTTAGCAGCAGGATAAACAAGACTAATTTTGAAAAACAATAAAGCTAGCTGGGAAATGATCTCTCAGCTCTAAAAATGCTCGATATGTCAACACTTTGTCACTTGACCTCAGCTGGAGATAAGAACACTGCAAAGTCCTCCCCTACGTCTCATAACATCTGCTTTTTCTCATGCTTTTGGGCCACATGGATTCTTCAGCAAGAAGGTGGAGTTGTTAGAGTGGTGTTTACAAAATCTAGCCAGTTCATGCTGTAGATGTACTTAAAAATCAGTGATTCTGAAAACCACTGTAAGTCTTGGATATGGTTGTTTGTACACACAGAGTGACCTTGACACAACCAAGAGACGTGTAGGGCTCCTGCAGTCATGGTAAGGACCTTGTGCAATGCATAAACTGTTGTGAGATTAAAGAGTGACCATCCCCCGTTGCCTTCTGAAAATTTCTTGAAGAAATGAGCCGAGGTACCTTCAACTATCCTTTTCTGCAGTTTACCTCCTTGGATATATAATTATAGAATTCTTTTGCCAATTTTAACCAAATTTAACTCAAGAGTGCACAGAAGTAATTAGGATTCTAGGAAAAAGGCAGTCAGATGTCAAGAGAGTGAGATCCAATGTTGGTCCAACCAAAATGACACCCCTGATTGCAGTGAAGCAACACTGTACAGCAGCATCGTGATAATAAGAAAACATACATTTTATTAGAGATCAGTGAATCCAGCCAACAGAGTGGAACTATGCAGGAGTGCAAATTTTCAATGACATTACTCCTCATCGAATAATGACTTGCCTTCAGAAGAGATTATAAAAAACAAGGGAAAACATCTTAATATTATATACCACTTACGACAATGTAATAACTATGAAGTAATACGTTCGAGTGAACGATGAAAACAGGCATTCACTTATGGGTGCATCATAGAATTTTTTCTGAAAGAGCCTTTTTTTAAAAAAAGAAAAAAAGCTAAATACTATTTTATAAAAGACTTGAGAGGTTTGTGGGAACATCCTCAGCATGCATGTCATTCTACTTAATCCATGTTCCTAAGAAATACCTGTAGTA